CTTCACCATGTTTGTAACCACACCAGTAAATGTCTAGAAGGAGCTGAGTATCACAGTCATTTTAAAGCTGCCTAATTGGTGCTTATTATGCTTGATTGCTGCTCGGTGACATCCACAGGTGTTTTCAATACCTGATGGAAAGCACCTGTATGAACCTCTGTTCTTCAGAGTGGTAGTCTTTAAGGGGTTGAAAAATTGTGGCAATGAAGAAACCACATAAGAACCATTTACTACTGTATTACATAAACAATTGATGTCATTTTAGTTTGCATTTGGGTAGTTACAACGTCCTTGTAGGATTTGATTCTGAATACAATTCCAAATGTACACTATAGTCCCTAAACCCCTTTACAGCATTGGGGGTTGAATAATTTTGGCCACAACTGTACATTCGTGTACTTGGGACAGAACCAACTGAGTACCGTCCGTGACACTTTTTTATTTGCACTAAAATACAATTTTTCAGGACAAGCTTTCGTTATTTTTGTGTATGTGTTCTTGTTTTGTAGGTTGATGTTTATTACTAAAATAAATATTTAACAGTTTATATAGGAACAACAGAGTACTGTCCGTGATACTTTTTCTATTTGTGCCAAAATACAATTGTTCAGGACAAGCTTCAAGGGTGTACCCCCTTACTAGTACTACTGCGTGGTATTGAAGAAGGGGGTACACAAAGAACGTATGTCCTGAAAAATTGTATGTTAGCGCAAATAGAAAAGTATCAAGGACAATACTCTGTTGTTCCTATATCAACTGTTAAATATTTATTTTAGTAACAAACATCAAACAACAAAACAAGAACACATATACATAAATACATAAATAAGTCCTCATGTACACTGCATGTTTTTACAGCGGCTGTTTTTGGCTTTTGAGGTTTTTTTCTACAGCCAGTAAACCCCCCAGCATGTTATCCTATGTGTCCATACACACATAGACTGTAATCAATGTTTTTTTGGCTGGAAAAAAAAAACAGGACTAGTGGGTTTCTAAAGGAGTTCTTTAGCTGCAAAAACGCTGTAACGCTGAAAAACAAGGCAAAACGTGGTAAAACTCTACAAACCAGCGGTTTTGGACTTTTTTTGACCAAAAAAATTTTTTTTTTATAAAAAAAACAATAAAAACCACAAACGTGTGAAAACGGTGCTAAACGCTAATGCAAAGAAGCAGAAAAACTCATGTTTTTAACGTGACTTTACACAGCTAATGCTACCAGCGTTATCAGAACGCCCCGTGTGCATGGAGACTGAAGGTTGTAGGGCAGAAGGGGAGGTGGACACCTGGCAATCGTTAATCTGCACTTTGCTATTTATACTGCCTACAATCAGCTCTGTGTCATTTCACATCCCTGGGAGACAGCCCATGATTCTGATTGGTCAGATCTTTGGCAGATTAAATGTTATTGGAATTCACAAAACACACAAACATGGGAGCGCTCCTCCGGATCCTTCTTCTGTGCTGTGCCATCCAAGGGAGTCATGGACGGGGGACGGGTGAGAATTCACAGGGACATTGTTTTTATGAAATCTCCTGACAGTCCCTTCTGTCTCTGTTGTTATTATTATTATACAGGATTTATATATTATTATTATACAGGATTTATATATTATTACACAGGATTTATATAGTGCCAACAGTTTGCTCAGCGCTTTACAATATAACGGGAGACAATACAGCAACAATACAGTTCCATACAAGAGGGATAGGAGGGTCCTGATCCTTGGAGCTTACAATCTAGGACTCTGTTGGTGAGATCCCTGTGCCGAGGTCTCAGATCTGCACACCCGTTACGCCCATTATGATTGCCAAACATTTTGTTATTTACATGATGGATACAAATATATACAATGTCACAGGAAGACTTGTTCTCTGGGAACAGATTCTGGGAACTGTGGAGAGATCTCACTACGGCAGGCTGCAAACAAAGCCAACGGCTGACTTATATGTGAACTTTCACTTTACTGTGTAATTCTGATTTTGTAATTGTAGGACAGATCCTATTCAGTTCATTTGTACATGAAAATGTGGAGCTTTCTTGGTAGCAATCATCATAGTCACTAAACATTGTATTCTAAAGTTTCCTTTAAGGGTGCATTTGCACCTAACAATGTCCCTGGCCGGTGATTACATGCAAGAACCCCAGCGGGGACGATCGCTCGAAGCATGATCGATTACATGCGAGTGGGAGTGATTCGCTGTGAGAGCTGCAGCCTCCCATTGATTTCAATGGGGCTGCCTACTTGTAGCTAATCGCTGGGGTTCTCACATGTGATCGCCAGCAGGGTGCATTCGCAAGTGTGAATCCACCCTATAGAGAGACCAGACCATGTTTCCTATTTGTGAGTTCTTATCTTTAAAAGTATCCAAAGCCAATTTTTGGCTTTAGATACTTTTTATATATATATTTTTAAAAATCTGCACAGCTATATGTACTGTAAAAATATATATACATTAATTCTGTGCAAATGGGGAAAATAGAATGTTACTCGGCTATTTTTCTTCTCCTAGGTCGAATGTTATTCATTCATACAGAGTAAAATGAATCAGGAAAATACCCCATTAGGATCACTAGATGGAGCTCATGGTCAAAAGAAATAAATGCTTATTTATTATGACTGTCAGCTCCCGCTAGGGGCAATAATGGGGAATTTACCTGAACCACTCTGCACAGAACAAATGTACATGAAGTTTCACAAGACAAGTTGCAATGTGATTTTTTTTTTTTTTTTTTCATATTCCTCTTTAAAGTAGGCCTTCACCCAAAATGGAAAGTTGCCATCACTCTCTTCCTTCCCCAGCCCCTAACATATTTGCACTTTTATGGGGGGAATGAAGCGTTTTTTGATAGGTACCAAATCCTGCTTTCTCAATTCTTGCCTAAGCGAGAATTAAGTGCACTTGGCCTGCCCCTGCACTGCCGTGTGTCGCACATGTGCAATGGGGAGCGGGCTATGAGACATCAAGAAGTCACAGCCAGTTCCCAAATCCAAGATGGCGGCACTGGAGAAGTGGTGCTGGACTCCATGGATTGGTAAGTATTTTGTTTCTTTACAGCATTTGTAGCTGCTGACTTTTCATTTTTTACAACACGAGTGAAGTTTATCTTTGTTTGCCTGAAAGAAAATTCTCATATGACTTCCATAGTGTTATGTACTGTTCTTTATTTCTAGAACTGGTTAGTTTTGTAGAGTTTCCTCTGTATAAAATCACATGCCACCGAGTGTGTAATACATAAAAGGAACTACCCAGACAACCAAACCATTGACAATTGTGTGACTGCCTTCACAATCACAGCATGTATGCATAAAGGGAGGGGTGCTGTTATGGTGCCCCTGGCAGGTGACCACGGGCACACCCAAGGCACATAGTCTAAGTGGCAGTTGTCTTCACCAGAGCTCCTAATGGTGGAGATGGGCTAGAAGACAAGTGGTCCTGGTCTTCTTGGCTGCATGCTGTCACCAGGTCATGTCTTTCAAGATTGTCTCAACAAGGTGGTAGCTGGAACAATATGTCTACAGTGTTGAGGCTGTACAAGAAATGCAAGGCACAAATGTAGTCAGGTCTGGGAAAAGTTCACGGGTAGGCAACAAGCAAGGGTGTATTCAAGTCATTCCAGGTCAACAAACAAGGCAATTAAGAAGTATAAATAGCTATTGCACAAAAGATACAGTACCATCCACTTCAAAGACTGGAGTACCATTTGAAGTCCTGGCAGGAATTCCGTGAGTGCCACTAGAGGTCCTGGCAGGGATTCAGAGATTGGAATTCAGGATTTACAGAGTAGGAGTTCTGGAAGATCTGGCAGGGATTAAGAGTGGGAGTTCTGGAAGTCCAGTCAGGGATTCAGAGAGTAGGGATTTTGGAGTCAGAGTAGGGTTCTGGAAGTCCTGGCAGTTGTTCAGGAAGTAGGAGTTCTGAACATCCTGGCAGGGATTCTGAATGTTTGAGATCTGGAAGTCCTGGCAGGGATTCGGGGAGTAGGAGTTGTGGAAGTCCGGGTAGGTATTCTGAAAGCAGGAGCTTTGGAAGACCTGGAAGGGATTCTGAGAGTGGGATTTCCAGAAGTCCTGGCAGGGATTCAGGGAGGTGTTCTGGAAGTCCTGGCAGGGATTCTGAGAGCGGGAGGTCTGGAAGTCCTGGCAGGGATTTGGGGAGTAGGACTTCTGGAATTCCTGGCAGGGATTCTGAGAGCTGGAGTTCTGGAAGTCCTAGCAGGAATTCAGGGAGTAGGAGTTCTGGAAGTCCTGGCAGGGATTTGGGGAGTAGGAGTTATGGAAGTCCTGGCAGGGTTTCAGAAAGTAGGAGTGCTGGAAGTCCAGGTAGGTATTCTGAAAGTACGGGTTTTGGAAGTCTTGGAAGGGATTCTGCGACGGGAATTATGGAAGTCTTGGCAGGGATTGAGAGTGGCAGTTGTGGATGTCCTGGCAGGGATTTGGGGGAGTAGGAGTCCTGGAAGTCTTGACAGGTATTCTGAGAGTAGGAGTTCTGGAGTTCTTGAAGTCCTGGCAGGGATTCTGTAAGTACCATAAGCCATTTAAGCTCAGCTCTACCTGATTTCAACTCTGTGACCCCCATCCTACGATCTTATCCTATTACCCCCCATGGCTTGCTTTGTAGCCTTCCTCTGGATTTCCCACTACTGGCTCGGTTTGGTTTACTTCTCATTTCTGCTCTGTTGTTAATGACCCCGGCCTGGTCCACTTACTATCCTACTGCTTTGCACTACACTATCCACTTTGGCTAAGCCTGGTTTGACCCTTTATCTATGGCTGATTTGGTACCGTCTTGTCTGTTGCTGACTCTGGCCTGTATGGCACAATACAGATGTTTGTATCAATTAACTACACCTGTATCATACTACTCAGGGGTCCCTGGACTGGAGGTGTATGAGAGGCTGCCATTGTCGCCTCCGATGTGAAAGTATATAATCAAGAAACAATGGCTTCCATGCTACACACAGGAACATTTTTTTTTTTTTTTACAACAAAAACACATTGATGGGACTATCTACATTGCACAACATCAAAGTCTCTGAACACTCATGTCCTTTCTTTCACCAAGCAGATGGTGGTAGACCAGTGGTGGACACGATCTATGGAACAATTCGAGGGACAACGTTAACAGTAAAAGAGGTGGACAGAACTGTCCATGCTTTCTATGGAATCCCTTTCGCCAAACCACCAGTGGGGCCTCTACGATTTGCAGCACCAGAGGCACCTGAACCCTGGAAGTCTGTAAGAGAAGGTGCAGAATATCCACCCATGTAAGTACCAGGATATGAGCTGACATCCTATTGGTGCAATAGAATCTTCCAGGTGGAGAGTTACCATACGCAAACAAACAGCCACATGCCATTCTAGAAGAAGCAGATCACACAGGTGTTTCTTTAGCCACATGTGGCCTTTTCAGTCCTCCAGTGTGGCCCTTTCACTCCTCTAGTGTGGTTCTTGCAGTCTTCCAAAGTGGCCATCTCACTCCTAGAATGTTGTCCTCTCAATTCCTTAAAGTGGCCATCTCGCTTATCTAATGTGGTCTTCTACTCCTGCAATGTGGTCTCCCACTCCACCACTGTATTCCTCTAAATCTTTGTGTGTCCCTCTCCCTTCTCCAATGTGGCCTTCTCACTACTCCAGTGTGGTCCTCCCCAATCCCTTAAAGTGGCCCTTTCACTTCTCTAATGTGGACCTCTCACTCCACCAGTGTGGTCCTCCCAGACCTCCAAAGTGGTTCTCACTACTCCAAGCTTCCAAGGGTAGAAGTGATTTATAGGCTGCCCCCTGACATGATAGGCCCAGGGACAGTCACACAGTCAGCACCCCAGTCACACAGTCAGTACACCTTTCTGTTGTACATTAGCCACTGTTTCTTTCCAGGTGTCTTCAGCCTTTGGAAATGACCAAAAAAATGATGGAATTAATAGAAGTGAAGATCACTTATCCTACAGTGTCTGAAGACTGTCTGTACCTAAATGTCTTTACTCCATCTGACCGAGGTGACAACGCCAGGTTACCAGTAAGTGTCCCGATGTTCCCTGTGTGCTCCCAACTGCCCAGCTCCCTCATACTGTCATACTTTCACCAGGTTAACTGCAAACAACAACAAGACTCTAAATGCTCTCATCCCAAACATGGGCCTACAGTAATCTGCTCTTTCCTTCTTCCAGGTCATGGTGTATATACACGGTGGGGGACTGGTATTGGAGTCCGCCTCTCTTTATGATGGATCTGCACTGAGCGCCCATGAAAATGTGGTGTATGTGGCGATACAGTACAGACTGGGATTTCTGGGATTCCTCAGGTAGGTCTCAGTATGTCTGATGCCTCTTTCCATAAAGAGACCATTCTCTATTAAAACAACTTGTAAAACTCAAGCTGACATATGTAGTAGTTGTAGACTTCATGTAACTTTGGATTTCTTAAAATTTTTATTACTTCTATAATCTGACTTTTACTGATGTGTATCTAGGAGAGTCAAACACAGAATGAACAAAGAACATGACTTATTATTATTATACAGTATTTATAAAGCACCAATAGTTCGCTGAGCGCTGTACATTACAAAGGGGGACAGAACATGTGACAGAACAATACCAATACAATGCAAAACATGAGGGGATTGAGGGCCCTGCTCTTTCGAGCTTACAATCAAGGAGGGAGGGGATGGTGGCACAGGAGGAGATAGCTGTGGGGGATGGAGTGGTAGGAAGAGTGGAGGAGGTCGGCAAGTTAGCAGGGGGTGGGGTAGGCTTCCCTGAAGAGATGGGTTTTCAGGGTGCGTCTAAAGGAGAGTAGAGTAGGTGATAATCTGATGGGTTGGGGCAGGGAGTTACAGAGGATGGGTGACACCCTGGAGAAGTCCTGGAGGCGGGCATGGGAGGAGGAGACCAGGGAACTAGAGAGGAGGTCTTGTGAGGAGCGGAGTGTGCATGCTGGGCGGTACTTGGATATTAGGTCGGTGATGTAGTTTGGGGCAGTATGGTGGACAGCTTTGTACGTCAGTGTTAGGATTTTGAATTTGAACATATGTCAATAAAGAATTCTCCCCCCTCTCACACACTATTGGCTGGCCAATGTGTCACTCCTAGTTGTGCACTGTAGTCCCTTCTCCTTCTTCCTAATGTTATATTGTACCATTGCTGGCAGAAAAGGAGGCCATGAAGCCAAATTTTATAAATTAAAAATCAATGCTATGTTATTTCTTTGAAGTCCTCCCTCCTTTTTTTAGTCACAACTGTCTTTTATCTTGTAATCATTGAATCCATGTTTTATTATTGATTTTTCTGTAAAAATTCCAATCTCTATCCCAGCACTGGAGATGGGCAGGCGGCCACTGGAAACTATGGACTTTTGGACCAAGTGGCGGCTCTCCAGTGGGTTCAGGAGAACATTAAGGATTTTGGAGGTGACCCCGGATCTGTCACTATATTTGGAGAGTCAGCAGGTGGAGCCAGCGTCTCTGCACTGGTAAGTCTTCCTGGTAGCTCCTGAAATTTAGAAAACACTCATAATAAGCTCAACCCTGACCCTTAAAACTGACCTTTCCTGACTTCCCTAAATATTGTCTCTGGATACCAATACCACACACTATGGGGCTGTGTGATCAGCCGCAGCTGGCTGGAGTTGGGATGGAGAATGGAACCATATTCAAGGTTGCCCAGGCTTTTATGATGGGGCTCATCACCTTCCTGAAATATGTACTGTATTATGTACATTTCATATACATACAGGTACAGTATAAAAATACATCAAATAGTAAAAAAAAAACAAATAATTTGAGTGATGTCTTGAATAATTTGAAGCTACAATATAAGTAATGTTTTGCAAATTTTGGATTTGGCTACTTGAAAAGATGTAGCTTTGTAATTAAATACTATAACATAGGCTAAAAACCTATTGCAACATTAAATGTTATGAAAATTTGTTACAATATGGAATATTGAACTGCTGCAGGTCTAATCTCTTGAAGAGAGGTTGCTTTTGAAATCATAGTCCACCTTTCTATCTTTCCTGTTACACTCAAATTTAGGGTATAACATAAAACATGATGATCATCTTCCTCCGCCCACCACCAAAACCCCCACCCCCTGCTTACCAGAATTAGTGTTATTCTCCCTGTACACACCAGTTGTTTTTTTTTTTTGTTTTTTTTTAGTGCAGCTGTGGGTGGCTCCATTTATCCTTTCACAGATCTATTTTTATGGACAACGACACCACAACAGTCACCATGGCAGAGAGACTCATAGATCCTAATTGAGCATAAGTGCAGTGACATTTCCTCATTGTTTACTTCCTCTAGACCCAAAACTGAACTTGTTGCCACAACCAGACAGGAATGTAACAGTTTATATGGTAGCTTCTTCAAAGAGGCAAAAGTTTTTTCACTTAAATTAGAAAAGGAAAGGGTGAAACAATACAGTGCGGGTTATCCTCTACCTTCTTTTATGGAGCAGCATGATGGGGCTGGACCCCATCTTACCATCTGCAGTGCTGTTCTGCCTGAAGAGCCAAAGCTGTTAACCATTGCAGTGCCAGAAGTCCAGAGACAGGAAGAGGATAGGGAATCCCTGCAGTTCCTGCACAACGTGGGACATCTTTCGTTACAGGTAAGTAATGTGATTACATTTGTAGGGATTTTTTTTTTAGCTAAACTAAAGCTTTAATGTCAACTATCCTGAATACATTTATTTTTTCATCTGACAATATTTCACAATCTGAAAACAAACATGTTGTTTAACAGAAAGAAATTACAATTTGTTAGATATCAAACATGATATAAATTCTTTGCCTAGTCCTCTTAGGAGGTCTAATGTATCTTATTAGCCTTTTGGACCTTGTTATATACACTCACCAGCCACTTTATTAGTTACACCTGTTCAATTGCTTGGTAACACAAATTGCTAATCAGCCAATCACATGGCAGCAACTCAATGCATTTAGGCATGTAGATGTGGCTGAAGTTCAAACCGAGAAAAGGGATTTGAGTGACCTTGAAAGTGGCACAGTTGTTGGTGTCTGACAGGCTAGTCTGAGTGTTTAAAAAAAAAATGCTGATCTGCTGGGATTGTCATGCACAACCATCTCTAGGGTTTACAGAGAATGGGCCAAAAAAAAGGAAAATATCCAGTGAGCAGCACTTCTGTGAACGAAAATGCCTTGTTTGATGTCAGAGGAGAATGGGCAGACTTGTTCAAGATGATAGAAAGGCAACAGTAACTCAAATAACCACTTGTTACAATCAAGGTATGCAGAATACCATCTCTGAATGCACAACACATCAAAGCAGATGGGCTACAGCAACAGAAGACCACACCGGGTGCCACACTTGCCAGCGAAGGACAGGAAATGGAGGCAAAAATTTGCACAGGCTCACCAAAATGGGACAAGTAGTAGATTGGAAAAAACGTTGCCTAGTCTTGCGAGTCTTGATTTCCCTAGAGATGGTTGTGCGTGAAAATTCCAGTAGATCAGAAGTTTTTGAAATACTCAGACCAGCCAGTCTGGCACCAACAACCATGCCACTTTCAAAGTCCTTTAAATCCCCATTTCTTCTACATTCTGATGGTTGGTTTGAACTTCAGCAAGTCATCTAGATGCCTAAATGCATTGAGTTGCTGCCATGTGATTGGCTGATTAGCAATTTGTGTTACCAAGCAATTGAACAGGTGTACCTAAAGTGGCTGAGTGTAGGTGTGTTTGATGTCTCTCTAAATGGTATTGCCTCCTACAATCAAGTGATCACTTTTTATGAAGGTAATCCTATCACAGTAGGAATTATAGTTAAAATGTATAAAGTCTGGGTCTGGCAGTTAAAAGAAAAACAAACTCAGGATTTGTATTGCTTTAGGCTGCTCTGCCAGACTTGTTACAACCAGCAGTTTATAACAGGCCTCAGAAGTCTCTTGTAGACCCTGCTAGTGGTGTTTTATGACAACTCTGCATTCCATATAACTTCCTCTGCTTTGTGCCAAATGTATCTTAAGCTGACTTTGTGTTCCGACAAGGGTGTAACCTCTCATAGATGCCTACCACAGACATGAGATTTATATCTGACCATTTCTGTTACCAGCCTGTGAATTTTGGAGACAATGATGGTGGTGTTCATTATGATTCCCCCATTCTCCCCATAGACTTTTAGGGTTCAGGAGACCTCACAATTACTATCATCACTTCCCCATTATTACCTCATCACCCATCCCATGTTCAGAGGCTAAAAGTCCTGGCTGGTAGGCTGAAGTCTTTACAGGCCTGGTTTAGATACACTCAGTGAGTGTGGGTATGGAGTGAAAATACCCAAAACATAGACCGATATAAATGAACATCTGTGTCTGATTTCAGGTCCTCTCCCCACTGGGCAAGGGTTTGTTCCATCGTGCCATCGCACAGAGTGGAGTGGCCATAATGCCAGGACTCATGGCCAGCTCACAGGAGGAGCTCATTTTCTATAGGGATGTAAGTAAATTCCTTACTCACCAGATCCTGATCCCCGCATCACCACTACCATCAACCAGTGGGACAAAATCATTACTTTCCATTTCTCTGAACTTCTTCCTATGTCATTCCTACATTTCTCCAGATGTTTCTATTATTCATTAAGGATTGATGTAGAAAGTGACATTGCTAAAATGTTGCCAGCTAATTCTTGCCTTAAGTCCTTTCCTGTGCAGAGATTTCTAGATACTGTTTTATTTTTCTGAGGGCACCAGGGCAAGAAGGCAGTAGAAATAATAAAAGATGGAGTATGGAAGAGTGAAAAAGTTTATTTACCTTTGCAGTTTGTAGCTAATGAGTCTGGTTGTGAGCCCTCCTCTCTGGTGAACTGTCTGCAGATGAAGTCCGAGCAAGAGATCTCTCCATCATCTCCGCCTCAGTATGTTATTTTACATCAAATTTCTCTACTTATTTTATTATGCCTATGGCCTGTAGAGCAATTAGGGGCTTCTCTCTCCCAGCCTGTCCCATGCAGACGTTAGAGGACACTATGTAATATGGAGCTTGGGTTTTATATGACAGGTTTCTTTCATGCTTACCTTTTTGTTGCACCTCTTTAGACATTCTTACCAATACCAATCTGTGAGGATGGAGTTTTCCTGCCAAAACCCGCAGAAGAAATATTGGCTGCCAAAGAAAACAGCAAAGTGCCATTTATCATCGGTGTGAATGTACAGGAATTTGGCTGGCTGATCCCAAAGGTAGGAAGTCCACCAATAGATGTTAATGTGAAATTCCACCCACAGGAGGATAACCTGCACCTGATGGCTTTCATATTAAACCTCTTTCCTTCTTCTGCAGCCAATTCCTGCCTCCATCCTTCGTGCTCTGCATGACCTTTCACTTTGTAGACCAAGACTGTCTTCTCTGAGTCTTTCTGTCCCATCATCTGAAATATATACATTGATGTTAGTAGAGGAGGGAAAGGGCAAAGAGCCCTTGCTTCCTCTGTCTTCTTACAAGTAAAGAAATGAAAAATGTGAATATAATTAAGATGGCCTATCATTATGAGGAGCTTCAGCAGTAGGGATCAGAGGTGTGTATTTTGCTTACCATGAGGAGGGATGGTGAGCAGCAGAAAAGGCTCCATGGGATGATATGCAATGATATGTAGTGGTGCTAATGGAGGCTATGTTTGTGTTTTTGGACAGAGTTTGGACGTGAAGTACATGGATGGGCTGCCAAAGGAATCCATCCACTTGGAGCTGGGCCATTCCATGTTCCTGGTAAGACCTCACCAGAGTCACATTAGATCTTACCTGTTTCAGAGTCAATGGTTTTGTTCCCACCACCACACAGATATCAAGCCTTTCGTCCCTCTAGCACTCATGCTTTCATAGACCCCAACACCATTGGTGACAGCCTGATGTTGGGAGAAAATGGTGGTGAATGGGTTCAAACAGAAATATAGAAAAGTGACAACAGAGAAGACCAAGTGGTAAATCCAATCTGCCCCCTCCCCTTTAATCAACCTTTTTGTCTGATTGTAGATTTCTGCTTGTCCCAAGAATGTTTAAATTCACTTACTGTTGTTTGACTCACTACCTCTGTTGGACGTCTATTCCAATCATCCACTACTCTATCTAGAAAATAATACTTTGTACGGTTACTGTTGGGATTCCAGTGACATCATAGACCATAAATGGTTATGAATGGTTATGACCATATATGTTAAATGATGTCACCCAGGAGATCCCACCCCTTTGTATAAATCAGTTGTCATTCACCAGATGTGCCATTTGATGGGAGTGAAGTGACGGGAGCAGATGTGTCAGTTTGTGTCATTCAGCAGGCCTGATACGGGGCCATGAAATGTATCAAGATCTCTGGACAATGTAATTGACAGTGGATGTACATTGTGGGACGGTTTGTTTTTCTCTTTGAAAAAGGAATTGTCAAAAATAGTTTGTTATTACTGTTTACATTTTTCTGTGAATGAGTAGAGGTACTATGCACCCCTTACTCAATCACAATGAAGTATCTTGGGGCATTCTTATTGCTAAAGGTGCCTTCCAGATTTTGCTAAGTCTCCCACCTGCGACCCACAATTCTGGGTCAGGGTTACTTACAAGGAAAAGGCCCTTGTCCTCCTTAACATGGGGACAAGTTGCTTTGCTAGGGGTTCCCCTCTGGTGAGGTACAATTCTGGGTCAGGGTTACTTACAAGGAAAAAGCCCTTGTCCTCCTTAACATGGGGACAAGTTGCTTTGCTAGGGGTTCCCCTCTGGTGAGGTACAATCCCCACCACACCATATCAAGGGCATGTGGCTTGGTATGAAGGGCCTGGGATGGAATCTGGGGGGGAACCCCCACAATTTTTTTTTTTTTTTTTTAATTATCCCACTTCAATTGCTTAAATGCCCTGGGATTCCTAGCCATGTAGGTGAATGGGGTTGGTAACATCACTGGTTGTTAAGGACTCAGCACCAACCAGCATCCTTAACAACCATTAACAGCAAAAGCTGTCATGTTTAATTACAAAAGTAATACCATAATACATGACATTTGGCTCCAGCCCAGTGGGTAACTATTCAGGCATTTGTCCAAACACCTGAACAGCCAAGGTCCACCCCAAACTTTTGTACAGACCAAAGCTTAAGCACATTCCTCATTTGAGTTCATGTCCCCGTGTTCTTGATCTTAGCCATGCCATAACTTACAACAAGGTCCTCTTGCCCGATACCAGAAAGGGTTCAATCCATTTAAACCTGTCAGAATGGCAGTCCTATGTCACAGGTGAGGCTGGTGGAGATGGAGCTCAGATATGACAGATGCATCTGATATGCAATGCTCTGTCTCGGGGCAATGGTGGCCTCAGCTCAGACTAGTGATGGATCCTGATAGGTTAACTTTAAAATAGCCATGCAAGGAAAGCAGAGCATGCTGGGAACAGGGCCAGATGTAGACCTTGGGGGTCCTGGGCACTTCAGGTTTGGGGGGGGGGGGCCCTCATTATCAATGACAGTCACACATTTTCAAAATGCATGACAAAATGTCATTCTGAGGCCACATGTGCACACTCACATGCAGTTATAGGCTACCTTCCTTAGGGGGGGAAGCAAGCTATGTGTGGGTTGCTTGATACAATATACCAGTCCAGAGTAAAGACTTTTACAGATGATAGCAGGCAAAATATTTACTTGCCAAGATACATATATTAAAATAAAGTATTTTTATATATCTTATATTGTTAGTTTTTTTGTATATTTTTTTAATGTTTTGTATTTTTGTATAGAGGAGGGCCCCTTCTGTCAAATGGGCCCAGGACAATTTCTTTTTGCCCCCTTATGAATCTAGCACTGGCTAGGAAATGACTGGTGTAGCTCCTGGAATGGATCAATTGTTAATATAGTTTTTTGCTGTGTGTGCAGGGTTCGATATCTGGTCTGGATTACACATTGCTGGACGAATATTTCGAGAACACGGACGACCCTCTGGAAAACCGAGAACGCTTTCTAGACCTGCAAGGCGATGTCATGTTTGTCATGCCAGCACTAAAGATAGCAAAACTTCACAGAGGTGTGAGGCTCCAGATACCTCTTTGTGGTCTTCAGTCAGTTAAAGAAGTACTCCGCTGAACACTGTTTACATCTTAAATGACTTTCTAATATCACCTAAAAGTGAAATGTCAATTACAGGTGGAGCCTGTTGAACAGTGTCATGGTTTGGTGTCCTATATCTCTGTTGGGTGCCAGCAATCTCCTTGCCATTGCTCCTGGCTCTGTTCTCTATCCATTGTGGTTTGAGTGTTCCCTCCTACTTTTAAGATGTTCTCACTTCTTCTGCATGCTGGAACCCCTCATAAAGGGTATACCAGATTTATTGACGCAGGAACTCGGCACAGGGATGCTGGAAACCCCTCATAATGGGCACAGCAGTTGTATAGATCTGGGAACTCAAAACTGTCCTGGTGGGAACCCCTCATAATGAGCACATCAGGTATACAGACCTGGGAACTCAGCTCAGGAATGGTGAAAACCCCTAATGATGGGCTCAGCAAGTGTACAGACACCAGAACTCTCAGCACAGGGATAGTGGGTACCCCTCATAAATGGGCACAGCAGGTGTAAAGACCTGGGAACTCCACAAAGGGATGGTGGGAACCCCTCATAATGGGCACAGCAGGTGTACAAACCCAGGAACTCAGCACAGGGATGGTGGGAACCCCACATAATGGGCACAACAGGTGTACAGATTCAGGAACTCAAGATAGGGATAGTGGGAACCCCTCATAATGGACACAGCAGATGTACAGACCTGGGAACTCAGCACAGGAATAGTGGGAACCCCTTATGGGCACAGCAGGTGTATAGACCCAGGAACTCGACACAGGAATGGTGGGAACCACTCATAATGGTCACAACAGCAGGTGTATAAACCCAGGAACTCAGCACAGGAATGGTGGGAACCCCTCATAATGGGCACAGCAGGTGTATAGACCTGGGAACTCAGCACAGGAATGGTGGTATCCATCGGCACAGCAAGTGTACAGAGCTGGGAATCCAGTGCAGAGATCTGACAAATAGTCCCTGGGAGGTAAAAGACTGAAATGCCAGTTCTGAGTGGACCTTTAAATAAAGGTTAATATCGGAGGAATGACCAATGTATGTTCCTATTTTCTTGCCCCCCCTCAGATTCTGGAGCCAGCGTCTACTTCTATGAATTCCAGCGCTGTCCATCCTTGTTTCAGCACAGTAGGCCACAGTGGGTGAAGGCTGATCACGGTGATGATCTGGTGTTCGTGTTCGGAGGGCCCTTCCAGAGAGACGGCACATTCTATAAATCATGTATGCTGGCGGTGGGGCTGGGATCTTGTATTTTCCAGAAAACATAGAATTGAATTATTCCATTTTATTTTCCAGATAATTTCCCCGAGGAGGAAAAGATACTCAGTAGAACGGTCATGAGATACTGGGCCAACTTTGCTCGAACAGGGTAAGGCATGGTGACTCCTTCCTCACATGTTATTGGCTCAGCTTTCCTGTAACAGACAGTTCTTATCTCGGCAAGACAGGAAATAGCAGGAAGTCTCTTCTCTGGGATGACAGCAAGAAAATCCTGCTGAAGGATCTAACCCTTCCTTACTCCATTCAAAATTAAAACAA